TAAACTCAAACAACACACTCAGTATAAACTATGCCTTCCTCCCACCCGTCTCCTAGCTCCTCCCACTGGGCCGCTACAGTTAACTGGTTCAGTGCAAGTTCTTGTGGTTGTTCATGCATAAATTCAAATATATATATATATTCACACACATCCCCTTTTAAAAAATGAGAAATGGGGGCACACTATTGTCCATGTCTTTTTTGGCCCTAGATTTTTTACTTAATAATAATATATTTCGGGTGATGTTTCCACATCAGTGCTTACACATCTGTGGAGCCTTCTCGGATGGAATCAGTTGAAAAGAAAACCCTAGGGTCGAGGAGAATGCTAATAATGAAGGGGTTAAGCCTCTAGGGAAGAGAAGGGATGCCCACATGTTAGTTTTAGGAGGTTTAAGAACCTTCTAATTGTGTGTATAAAATTGTGGGCACAAATGGATCTTCCTGGGGAGAGGGATTGTGTCTCTCCGGGGGGGGGGGGGGCCGGGGGCAGGCGGCCAGAAAAGACAAAGACCCATAGCACTGTGTTGCATGGGATTTAATAGAGCAGGTGGCAGGGGCTAACTCTGCAGAGAGCAGAGCCCCTTGGTCTTTGGGCCTCACTGGGGCAGCCACGGATCAGACTGAGGCAGGGGCAGAGCTGCCAGCCCTGGTATATTCTAGGAAGGTGACTGGAGCCTTCCCACTTCCGAAGGAGGGTCCCGCAGCCTGCAGCGAGGGTGGCCCTGACTCTTGAGGATGGAGTATGGGGCCTTCCTGGGATCAGAAAACTCCAGTGGCCAGATCTGGGAATCCCTTAGAGTCATTGGTTCTGTGGAAAAACTGAGGTGCAAAGAGGCCAGGCGGCTGAGTCCAAGGTCACCCAGCCAGGGAAATGCCGAGCCTGTGGGCTGCCCCTGCCTGTGACATTCAGTTTAGGGTTCCTTCCCCTGCCAGAGTGGAATGAGACTAGGAAGCAGAGGCCCTCCAGATGATGTGAGGCTGCCTGTTGCTGCTTGCCTCTTGGTGTGTGGGTGAGGGAGAGGGGGTGCACAGAGCAGGGCCCGTAGCTCGGGTGGCGTGTCATCCTCACACCTCATGCCACCTGCAACATCACCTCCCGCTGCCTGCATCCTCACATTAGGCTGCAGCCAACCAGCCAGGACTTCTGAACCCAGCAAAGATGCGGCGCTAAGAGGCTGCACTACAGGACGTGGCCACTAGAGGGAAGTAGGAAAGCCACGGCGGTGGCTCCGCAGGAGACAGCTCCCAGGCTGGGAGAGGAGCCGACGGAAGGAGGGGTTTGGGGCAGAGACCTGCCTGGCAGAGGTCTGGGCACGGCGGTCAGGGAGAGTGATGATGTGTTCCGAGGGGCTTCCCTGAGACAAAAAGCAAACAAGTCATTTAATGATGATAATAGCAACATTTGTTGAGCGCCTACTCCATGCCAGGCACTGTATTAACTAATTAGTCCTTACAACGGCCTTGTTAAGATTGTCCCTACTTCTCAGGTGAGAAAACAAAGGTCCAGGGAGATTGAGAAATCTGGCCGTCAACGGGGCTGCTGCCAGAGCCAATGTCCCAAGCACAAGGCTGTGCCATAGTATATGCCTGTTCATATAACCACTGCTATGGTTATACCTCCTTTACGGGTGGGGAGACTGAGGCTCAGAGACAACTGGTGAGTCACCCAGGTCCATGCACCTGCTAAGTGACAGATCCAGGTGGCTTCATGGCTTGAGCTCTTAGTTCTGAATTACAGTTCTCCCAGGAAGAGGTGTTTTCCACTCCCATCCTGTGCCCTGCTTTGAAGGTGTCTGATACTAAAGTCTGAGCTTTCTTTTGGGAGTGGGTACTTCCAACAGAAGTTACAGATTCTTGGTCCCTGTGTCTAAGGCTCGCCTGGATTTTGACTAACCAGAGGTGGAGGGAGGCCATGCCAGAGGCTGCTAGAAGCCCAGAGAGGGGCTCTGGGGCTCTCAGTCTGGCTTAGAGGATGAGGGCCTTGAGGAGTCCTTTGCGGTGGCCAAAGCTCCCCTGGGAACAAAGGGCCTGGCCTCGGGGCCTCTGGTTTCCAGGGCAGATGCCTCCAGCATACCAAGGATACTTGGCCGGCCGTGGCCCCGGCTCTGCCAGGCTGGCAGGAGAGCAGGGGCAGTTCTAGGAGGGCCAGATTTCCTCCATCTTCCCATTCCCATGCCCTCGCTTTGCCCTCCTGGGGCGGGGGGAGGGGGATGGCTTGTGTCTGGGCCTTCAAACACATTCCCCTCCTGTGTGTCCAGGCTGCACCTAGTGAATCCGAGTCCTACTTTTTTAGGGATTTATAACATTGCAATGATGCTTTAGTTACTTCTGATTTATTGACAAAGACAGCAGGTTCCAGGCCTGGCCTTACGTTTCTTTGGGTGGCGGTAGGGAGGGAAAGTGGGGGGAAGAAACTTAAATGGTCTCCTCCCTGAAAGGTGCTCCTCTTTAAAGATAACCTTGGGTGAATTGTTTTTGGACCTGGAATCCTAGAGTTAAGTTTAAGGCTTCTGTTTCCTGTCTTGGTGGGGACCAAAGGGTGTTGGATGTAGTTGAAGAGGGAGTGGGTCAGGGAGGAGGGTTCGAGCATGGACTCTAGAGCATACCGCCTGAGCTGGTATCCTGGCTCTACCTCTTACTAAGGATGTGAGCTTGGGGGAGTTATCTAACCTTGCAGAACCTCAGTCTCCCTATCTGTAGAACGGGACTATGACCTCATAAGGTTAGTGAGGGCTAGATGAACTGATGCCTGGGAAGGGAGCATATGCCTGGGCGAAACATCTCGAATGCCCAGGAAGTGCTTGCTTTCCTTTGTGTTATTTTACCCGTAGTAGCCAGAATGGTGCCTGGCTCATACTAGGTAGCTAACATGCTTGTGAATAAATACAAAGGAAATACAGTGGAACGAAACAGCATTGCAACTAAAGAATGGACCCCTAAATAACTAAAAAAATATTACTTTGCATGAATGTTGGTGGCTTCCCCTCCCTGTTCTCTAAAGGTGTTCACATTTGTCTTGGGGCACTTGGAAAGGGTGGGCCTGCACTTTGCAGGGGAGTCACATTTAACGCAGAGAAGCTGTTCTCTCTGGGTACCGATGGAGACAGCATCTTCTGCTGCCTTGGGGGTGAGGCAGGGAGGGATGGGATGTGGTCAGGGCTGTGGTGGTTCTCTGGTCACACTGGAGTTTCCCTAGAATTTAGACTGTGCTTCCCCCTATTTACTGCCACCTGGCGACATGGTACTGTTTCCTCTAGGTACCAAGTGGAGTTTCATACTTAAAACAGGACTCCTAGGCCCCAGAGCCTCAGCTGGCCCCCCTGCCATCTCACTCCAGCTTCTGTGCCCCTCCTCAAGCTTCAGCATGTTTCTTCCCCACTATGCTGGTGTGAAAGGGCCACAGCACTGGCCTAAGAGTCTGTCCCAGAGGGATTCGAGTCTCTGCTACTTACTTGCTTATCATGCCCATTTGCTTAGTCTTTGAATCTTAATTTCATCATCTGAACAGTGGGAGTGAGGACGGTGACCTTCCAGAGGGGGTTGTAAGGATAACATGATGTGGCGAGTTGGGTGAGTGAGCTGAGCCAGGCAGCACTGCAGGTTTGGGAAATGAGGACCTACTCGCCCTGCCCTCAAGGGAATCGTTCCATACAGGGGATGTGGGAAGCATATTCACAAGGCACAGGAGTTCACTCCATCAGCCACGAGTCAGTAGATCGACCAGACCAGACAGCAAAGGGAAGAAACATGCTCTAAGTCTCAGAAACCGTCTGAAGTCCCCTTTTAATGTCCGGTCCCTCTCATGCTGATTCACAAACAAATGGGGGCCATTAACTGAATGCATGTTTGAAGGCCAAGTACAGGTAACCTGGAGGAACAGTAAGTCAAATCTCCTTAGAAGGAAGGAGAGTGGGCTCTGGGGAACCTGCTAGATGGGGGTAAGCCAAGCATGTGAGTTCAGGCAGGTTTCTTCACCTCTCTGTGCCTCAGCCTTCTCTTCTGTGAAATGGAGCCAATAATTTCCGTGTAAAGTTCTTGCGGGGAATTGATGAGCTAGGGCGGGGAAACCGCTTAGCACTTAGGAAATACACAGTAGACACTAACAAAAATAACGTTGCCGTCTTGGTGTTTTAACTTAGGATCTGTGAAGAGCATCCAGATCCCGGATGCTCCCTGGTCCACTTTTGCTTTGAGTTTCAGGTAGCCGTTCTCTCTCCGTGTGGCTAGAAGAGGAACCTCACTTCCGGGCTGTCCCCTCCTCGTGGGCCTCAGCGTGTGAGTGGTCTCGACTGAGCCACCGCTTCCGCCTGGAGATCTGGGGTGAGCACCCCTGTCCTTGCTGACTTCCGCTAACCCCCCTCTTGGGGAATCACTGAACAAGCTGAATTGCAAAGGGTCAGGATGCTCTGCTGATTTTAACTGCAGAACCAGTCTGGACTGTGCCCCGGCCCCATTTGCTGGGACAACTTTGACTCCGACTGTTCCGTTCTTGGGCACTAGCCGCTGTGTCTGGTTGGGTCAGTCTGGTCACCAGAGCTGAACTGAGCTCGCCAGGCCTGGGGGTGTTTGCGGCCGGTGGATTTCTTCGCAGCTCCCGCTGGTGGTAGCTGGGAGGGGTGCCTCCACGGGGGGCTTGCCCAAGTGGGGCACCAACGCTCAGCCAGCTGGGTGGGCAGGCTTGCCAGCTCCCTGCCCACTGGGGCGTGGTGTGAGCACAGGGACTGAGACTTGCTAGGAGGATATGGGTAGGGGGTGGCAGAGGTGGGTGAAGGGGCTGGGATGCAGCCCAGGCCTCAGAGGGCTGGATCCAGGGGATCAGAGATGGCAATGGGTTATTTGGAGCTCTGAGTCAGTGATAAATCTGGGAGAGCAAGCAGGGCCTTTGCTGCCCAGCCCTGGAGAGCTGTCTGTGGGGCGCAGGACACAGGAGAGAAGGGGTGGGGAGGGAGGAGCTTGGAGCCCCCCTTTAGCACCCCTGCCTTCCCTCTCTCCTTGCAGTCTTCTGGCCACAGGGCTGCTGCGCAGGCAGTGACTGCCTGCTGGGCCTGGAGACTTGGCGGCTGCGGACTGCCCAGCTCAGAACAGCCCCTCTTTGGTGAGTCGTGGAGTCCTCTCTGCCTCGCCTTCCCCAGGGCTGGTCACCGAGCTAGCCCACCTCGGGGGCGACTTTCAGAAGCCCAGCTAAGCTCCTCTTCCCCGCTCTCCCTGCCCTCCCCATCCCCCATGCGTTCTCAGTTCCTTGAGATGCCCCTCCTGTACCACCCCTTCCTCTTCTCACTGCCCTGCCTGGCTTCTCTGGGGCCACTGTTGGATCACAGTGGGGCCCCTGCGCTTACCCTGTGGGCAGAAGGGGGTGAGGGCCTAAAGATGGAGGCCCTTGAGGACTGGCTGGGGGAGGGGGGCTGGAGGAACCTGCTGACAGTAGGGTCATCTGCCCCATGGCCTGGACCCCTCCCTCAGTGGCCAGGAGGAAATCCTGGAGGGCGCTGGGGCCCAGGAAGGGATGCTTCTCAGCAGCCCCTGGACCCTGTCTCTGCTCTGGGCCAGCTGACTCTTAGGGACTCCGCGAGCCCTGGGAGTCCTCTTCTGGAATAAGCTGGTCACCTGCATCTGTAAACTTGGACACAGTTGTCCACCTTTCCCGGCCCAGCAGGCATGGGGTGCTAGCAGCCCACCAGCTCACGGCGTGCAGGGGTCCTTTCTGCATGAGGACTTGGGTCGGGGGAGGCAGCTCACGTGGGCTCTTCTCCCTCTTGGGGGTGGGCAGGGGACGGAGGAAGGCTGACCACCGGGGGACTGGGCGCCAGCTCGTGGGGGTGAAGGAGACGCAGGTGGGCCCAGGAGATGCCGGCAGGGGTGACAGGCAGTGACAGGGGAATGGCTTGAGGTGGGAACCGGTCATTCCCAAGTGTGGGAGTTGGGAGTGTTAGGGTCTTGCCCAGTCAGGCCCCACTACGGAACTCAGCTCATGATGGGAGGCCCCGCAGCCTTCTGTAGGGTAAACCCCAGGGTATGGGAATCAGTCCCTAATAGCTCCCAGGAGTTCCCAGAGAATGGTAAAGTCTAGTGCGGGAGCCGTTTAGGCCTCAGATGCATGTGTGAGCACTGACGCAGGGAGCTGGAGCCCTTCCCCAGGCGGGCTGGAGCCGCTGGCCTTGGGAGGCACCCAAGCCTGGCTGCTCCCTGATGGCTGCCCGCCTTCGCCCGCAGACCTCACATGGTGGAGAAGCAGCCCCATGAAGGTGCCCAGCCATGCAATGTTCCTGGAAGGCCGTCCTCCTCCTTGCCCTGGCCTCCATCGCCATCCAGTACACGGCCATTCGCACCTTCACCGCCAAGTCCTTCCACACCTGCCCGGGTCTGGCGGAGGCGGGGCTGGCCGAGAGGCTGTGCGAAGAGAGCCCCACCTTCGCCTATAACCTCTCCCGCAAGACCCACATCCTCATCCTGGCCACCACGCGCAGCGGCTCCTCCTTCGTGGGCCAGCTCTTTAACCAGCACCTGGACGTCTTCTACCTGTTTGAGCCCCTCTACCACGTCCAGAACACGCTCATCCCCCGCTTCACCCAGGGCAAGAGCCCCGCGGACCGGCGGGTCATGCTGGGAGCCAGCCGTGACCTCCTGAGGAGCCTCTACGACTGTGACCTCTACTTTCTGGAGAACTATATCAAGCCGCCGCCCGTCAACCACACCACCGACAGGATCTTCCGCCGCGGGGCCAGCAGGGTACTGTGCTCTCGCCCCGTGTGCGACCCTCCGGGCTCCGCGGACCTGGTGCTGGAGGAGGGGGACTGCGTGCGCAAGTGCGGCCTGCTAAACTTGACGGTGGCCGCCGAGGCCTGTCGGGAGCGCAGCCACGTGGCCATTAAGACGGTGCGGGTGCCCGAGGTTAACGACTTGCGGGCCCTGGTTGAAGACCCCCGGTTAAACCTCAAGGTCATCCAGCTGGTCCGAGACCCACGTGGCATTCTGGCTTCCCGCAGCGAGACCTTCCGCGACACGTACCGGCTCTGGCGGCTCTGGTACGGCACCGGGAGGAAGCCCTACAACCTGGACGTGACGCAGCTGACCACGGTGTGCGAGGACTTCTCCAACTCCGTGTCCACCGGCCTCATGCGGCCCCCGTGGCTCAAGGGCAAGTACATGCTGGTGCGCTACGAGGACCTGGCCAGGAACCCCATGAAGAAGACCGAGGAAATCTACGGCTTCCTGGGCATCCCCTTGGACAGCCACGTGGCGCGCTGGATCCAGAACAACACGCGGGGAGACCCCACCCTGGGCAAGCACAAATACGGCACCGTGCGAAACTCGGCGGCCACGGCCGAGAAGTGGCGCTTCCGCCTCTCCTACGACATCGTGGCCTTTGCCCAGAACGCGTGTCAGCGGGTGCTGGCGCAGCTGGGCTACAAGATGGCCAAGTCGGAGGAGGAGCTCAAGAACCCCTCCATCAGCCTGGTGGAGGGGCGGGACTTCCGCCCTTTCTCGTGACCAGGGCTCTGTGGGTGGGGGCGAGTGGGGGCCACGGTGTCGGCTTTGATAAAACGGACCGTTTTGAACTGTTGCCTTACTTCCCCCTCCCTCTCCCTCCCCGTCTTTGTGTCCTCCCTGCCCCCCTGTCCAGACCCCGCTTCCTCTGCCTCTCTTTGTCTCTGAAATTTGCACTAAGTCTTGGACAGGAATCTCTGGGGCAGAGGGGGCCTGAAGTGGGGTCCAGCCCCAGCCCCACCCCGTTCAGACACAAGGATGGGTGTCTCTGGTAGATGGTGACAATGTTTACAAGCACCGCACTTACACATTCACACATGCGCGCACACACACGGGCACCTGAGAGGAGAGACACCCCAAACCACACAACTTCTGAAGCTTCTCCAATGGACGAGCGGCGAAGGTATGGTAGTTTTTGCACTGTCTTACTTCTACGAGGTAAGAAGTTAAAAACAAAAAGGCCACCTCTCTCTAATTTATGAATGGCGTTTATCCCTCCCCATCCCGCTTCTGCCCCCCAGTGCCCACTTCCCCTCCCTCCCTTGGAGCAGAGAAACTGCCCCCTCCTGCCCGCCCTTGCCTGTCAGGTGAGCAGGTTTTTACTGTGAGGTGAATGTGGACCTTGTTTATTTTTTCCAGTCTGTGGCAATGCTGTTCGTCTGTCTGAGTCTTGTGGCTGCCCCTGGACCAGTGACGGCTGATAAATGTTATGGTTTTCTGATTGATCTTGGGGGTCCATCTGTGATATTTCTTTGTGCCAAAAAGAAGAAAAAAAAAGAGTGGTTCGGTTTGCTAAATGAACATCGAAATGCTTTATCTGTGTTTTCTGTAAATAAAAGAGTGCAATAATGTCTGAGTGTGATTATGGGACATTCTGAACGGGCAAAGGCAGAAATCAGTGGGGTCTAGCTTTCTGTTTCTGGCTTTGGGGAGGAGAGAGAAGGAGATGGAGGTGGGGATTCAATGACCAGTTGCTGGCTTTCAGAATTCTTGTCACCCTCATCACCCTCAACACTGAGTTCACGGTTTCATTTCCCTCTGGTCAATTGAGACCAGGCACCTTATAGCCAGGGGTGATGTTCAGAATATTTAACAAGTGGTATGGCTTGCCGAATCACTGTCTGGAGATCCTGATGAGGTCCTGGTGACCCTTTCCTGTGCCAGATGTTACCTCTATTAATTGCTGGGTCTGTGGAAAAGATAGCCAGGTGGGGGAGGGATATTCAAGGGGTGTGTTGGCTCAGGCTAGTGGCTGCTTATCAGTGGTCTGGAAGTATTCCAGGATTTTAACAAGTAGTGCAGGTGTACTGGTGTCTACACTGGTGGAACATCAGCTGTGCTTACTTCCTTTCCCATCCTTGGCAATCTAAGAGCTTCCCCAGCTCTTTTCCCAAGAAAACAGCTGGTGCCTAGGGTGGAGTTCACAGCTTTGTTGTCCTGGGACAGAGAGAGTCTGTCTGGGATTAGGTAGCCCCAGTGGTCTTGGGCTTCTCAAGCTTGGAAGAGCTGTTTTACCAGGTCACCCAGGGCAGTTCAACCTTCAAAGGATTTATTTATGATAACCAAGCCCGCACGACAGAGAATCAGAAACCAGAGTGCTGGCCTGCTTTTAGGGTAAAGACCCAACTCTCAGTGCTCTTGGAGGCCCCGCATGTCCTGACTCCTGCCCAACTCTAGTTTCACCCTCACCATGCTCCCCTTCACATTCACTCTCTGGTCTTCCTGCTTTCTTTTAATTCCTTGAACCCACTGAGGTTACAGTCCCCAATTTGTTCCCCTCTCCCCATAACCACACCCTTGGCTAGTGCTCTCCCTCCCACACCGATATGGGCTCAGCCATGTGCCTTGCTTTAGCCAATGGGACAATAGTCAGAGTTATGGGTACAGCAGCATGAAAAGTACCTGAGCTTTGGAGCTTGTCCCTTTTTGCTGCCTTTTGGAAGCCTTTAACTGCCTTATGGAGGAAACCCAGGGTAGCTTGCTGGAGAATGACAGACCATGAGGTGAAGAACCAAAGAGCCCCAGCCAATGGCCGGCCAGTTCCTCACTGACTTGGCAACTAACACAGATGCATGAGTAAGCCCCAGCCAAGGTCAGTGTCACAGTCTGGCCTAGACTGTTGGAACTGCTTTGCTGAACCCAGCCAAATTTCTGACCTACAAAACTGTGGGTTAAAAAAAGTGGATGTTGTTTTAAGCAACTAAATTTTGGAGTGACTTGTTACGCAGCAGAAGCTAGCCAATGCACATGGCGCTCTGGCTCATTTCAGGGTCTTTGCCTAGATCATTCCTCATGCCTGGGTTACTCCTATTCTCCTCTTAATCTAATTAATGTCTGCTTATCCTTTGGATCTTAGCTTCATTACCAACACTTCCTTGGTTTTATCAGATTAGTTCAGTTACCCTGATCATAGGCCCCGATATATCCTGATTATAGGCCCTTATGGCACCATGTACATCTCTTTGATAGTGTTTACCACAGTTGGAATCACACTTTTAATTGCAGGACCTGGCACACAATAGTATCCAATAAACATTGGTTGCATGAAAAAAAGCAAGGATAAAACAGGTGCTTACCACCTGAAGCAGCTGTTTTATCCCTCCTTGTCCTGGGCCTTCACTAGGGGGTGGTCTCTTAGGGGTCTGAATGAGACCTGAGGCAGGTAATGCCCTCCCAGCCTGTTTCTCACAAGTGACGGGGCGTTGAGCTGGGTTTTGTTCCAAGAATCCACATCACTCCCCTCTGTAGTCTAAAATTCTTTCTAACTCCACACACCAACATTGGCTTTCCTATTTCTTCGCATCGGTGCTATCACCCACTTTGCCACTTGTTACAATTTCCAAGGTGAATGCTCAGAAGGAGAATAACAGTGAACAAACACATGTACAGAATTTTACAGTTTACAAAGCACTCTTCCCCCTCCTATTAGTCACACCTCTCCAGAGGCTGTTTCCTGCTGACACAGAGGCACCTTTTTCTAGCCAGGAAATGGTGGTCAGAGCACCACGTAGGCAGGGCTGGCCCCGCCCCCTCCTCATCTGTGTGTAGCGCCTTGATGCCTTAGATCCTAAGGAGTAACTTCCTGGTCTTGTCCCCACACTCAGGGCTCCTCTCACCCCATGGCTCTAAGGGCCATGTCCTGTCAATTCTTTTCATCACAGCCTTCCTCTGTTTGTGTGTTCCCACCTGCTCACCCTAGTTTCTTTCCTTGCCACAGCAGACACTCTGGCCTCCTGACCCCACTTCCCTGGGATCCTGCGGAGCTCGCTGGGTGCCACTTCCCATCACTCCAAAAGGTATTGTCCAAAACAAACCTGCCATTCCCTACTCATCCCCTCCCTGGGGAAGAATTTCTCCCGGCTGGAATGCCTTTCCTCACTGGAAAGGAAAAAGATGTAATGAAGCCCCTTCACAGACCCACTGAGAAAACACATAGGCTTCTGTTTCCTGAGGGCTGAAAAACAGGTTGGAATCAAGTCCTCATGGGCAAATAGCCAAGGTTTGGATGCACCAGGGGGTGTAGCTGCAGCCATGGGCTGAGTGGTTATTGGGGTGGGCTTTGTGTGTGTGTGTGTGCGTGTGTGTGCGCGCGTGTGTGCGCGCGTGTGCGTGTGTGTGTGCGCATGTGCACACACACACGCAGCTGGGAGACTAATGCCCAAACTGAGGATCTGGCCGGCCTGGGGGCCTGCAGCCTGCCTGTCCAGGGCACACATGGGTCAATTACCCAGGCTTCACAGAGACCCTAAACCTTCACCAAAACCTCCAATCTGCCTACACTGGTTCTCTCGAGTTGCACTTCTGGGAGTTGTCACCTGCAGATGACTTGACTTAAGTACAGTAAGTCTTATTCATCTTGGGAAGCATTGTGATAAACTGCATAGTTCTAGGTTCCAGTCCCATCTTTGTCACTACTTGATGTGTGACCTAGGGCCCATCACTTAATTTTTCTGAGCCTCCATGTTCTTATCTGTACAGAGGTAATTATTATAATACCTGCCTCAGAGGGCTACTCTGAAGATTGCATAAGGTAATGCATTTAAGTGCAGAGCACCGTTCTTGGTGTATAGGGAGTGCTCGGTAAATGCTAGCCATTGTCATCATCATCATCATCATCATCTTCATCATCACCATCATCATTTTATCCATGGTTCCTAGCAGGATGCCTGGAATATGCTCAGTGAATATTTATTGAATGAATACATTTTTTTGTGAGCTCTTTTTTGTGAATTGCTGCTGATGCACAAAGTTACACCTGAACAAAATGGCACAGCTGTCAATGAAGTACCCTTATCAGCCAAGGCCTAGAACCGAAGGCTAACTAGGGGGAGACGAGTAGGGGACAGCCAGAAATGCCCACAGAATGGCTGCTAAGCATAAGGACAAGCTGGCCCACCCACAGGACAGTACCTGTAGGCTTCCAGCACCCTTAGAGGACTAACCCTCAAGAGTAGAAGTTGGCTGAGTTGACCTACCATCTTCTGGCCACATGCCCCAAATTGTCTAACTTCCTGGGAAAATTGCTTGCCTGGAGATGGCCCCAAGTCAGCTGCTCAGCTGCGACGTCTAGGTCAGATGGACTTGGCCTTTCTGCCCCCTTTAAGGGACCTGCATTCGTGCTCCTTTTCCATTCATAAAGCACCATTTTTAGCAGGGGGGCCCAGATGTCTTCTTCCTCTTGAAGGTCCAGGAGAGCCCACCGTCTCCAGCAATGAAGGATGTAGAGTTTTCTTAAGCCGGAATCTTTGAGCTTCCTGGAGTGGGTCTGGGAACAGCCAGACAACCACACCCAGCTGTCGGAGGTTTCCTCCTCTGGCAAATTCCAGCATCAAATTCCACAGCCTTTGACAACAATGCCTTCTTCCAGCATTGCTTCCTGCTTTCTTCCTTCCTTGGTAACACCTCAGCCTTCAGCAATGTCACTCTGGCCTTGGGCTGGCTTTTGGAAGCTGGATGTGGCTTTGGGACAAGGACCTTTGCACAGAGGGGAACAGGAGGATTTAGAGCCATCCAGGAAGAGTAGAAAATTAGCAATTTAGGTGACAGGAGACTCATCTTGAGAACTTGTTGTACTGCGCCTTGCTGGACAAGCCAGAAATCTACCCTGAGCCTCAGTGTCTCAGCTATAACCTGGGGACAGTGTTGTAAAAGAATGTGTCTTCTGCAACAGTTGGATATAGTGGACTACATATGCCCATATAGTCAAGTTAAACATATTGGCCAAATATGTCTCCAGACTTAAAAAAAAAATCTGTTTATTCTGATGATTAGTGAGATAGGTGTGTTAAAGATTTCACACTGTGATTGTGGATAGATTGATTTATCTATTTCCCCATGTAGTTCTGTCATTTTTTTGCTTTATAATTTTGAGATTGTGTTTTTAGGTGCCTACCGATCTAAAATTGTCATATATTTCTGGTGATTTGAACCTTTTCTCATTATGAAGTGTTCCTATTTGCCATAGTAATGCTTTTGCCTTTAAGTCCATTTTGTCTAATGTCAATATAACAACACTAGCCTTCTTTGGGTAGAATGTGTGTAATTTAATATTCTATCTTTTAGTTCATATACATGCCTTATAATTACCGATATATTTGAATTTACAGCTACCAGCTTATTTTGTGCTTCCTATTTTTCTCACCCATTATTAACCTTATTTTTGATTCAGTTTTTTTTTTGTATATTACATCTTTTTCCCACCACTGATTAGAAATTTACATACTTGTTTCTATTCCTTTAGTGGTAATTAGAAATGAAAAATTCCTTTCTCAGTTAATCCAAGTCTAAAATTAGTCAATATCTTTACCTTTCTCTTGAAAAACACACTTAATACCTTAATACACTTTAAT